GGGGCACATGTACCTCATCACGGTAGATGCTTACTCCAACTGGCTGGAGGTAAGCACCATGAAATCAACCACAACGGAGGCGGTAATAAGGAAGCTGGGCAAACTCTTTGCCACACACGGCCTGCCAGATATAATAGTGTCACAACGGGCCCCAGTTCACCGCATTAGCGTTTGAATAATTTCTGGCAGGCCAGGGCATACGCCATGCGTTAACCGCGCCGGCAAATCCAGCGGCGAACGGACGAGCGGAACGCATGGTCCAATACACAAAAAAAGCCATACACAAAATAGAAACAACCAACATACAAGATAAAATTAATAAAATTCTCCTCATCCAACATATTACACCGAGCGCAACCACAAATAGGAGCCCAGCAGAACTAATGATGGGCAGAAAACTACGATCAACACTAGATAGAATGCACCCCACATACACCCCTGACAAATCCCCGGGCTCCTCCAGCAAGCACAGAAAATTCAACATAGGTGATGCCGTATACGCAAAAAACCTGTCGGGGGAACCACTCTGGATACCAGCAACGATCACCCAAATAACCGGCCCCGTATCATACCGAGTAGAAACAAGCGACGGGAAAAACTGGAAACGGCACATTAACCAACTAAGGTCCAGAATAACTAACAACCATACACCCGAACAAGAAACTAGAAGGGGGGGGGAAACGGAAAGCGTTAGAGAAAGAGGGACCCCCCTAGCGCAAGCCGAACAACCCCCACCCAGAACAAATAACCCGCAAATAAACCGGTCCTACTCACCAGTAAACGAGGGACCAACCGAACAGGCAACCCCAGAATCGTCGCCGGGAAGGAGCAGCCAGGCCAGCGAAACCAGCCCGGAAAGATCCAACAGAAACAACAGAGACGGCAGCTCAACCAGCCCGGGTAGACCGGGAGGGAGCTACCAAGAAAGGCCCAGCCCGACCTTCCAGGCGGTTCCATCCCTGGGAACCAGAGCGACAGAGAAGGCCTCCGAACCGGTCGACGACCAATCGAGAACTGAGCTGCGCAGGTCAACTAGACAGGTACGAAGCCCCGCCTACCTGGGCGACTACGTCACGACGCACCGACAGACGAAACCAAGAGGGGAGGGGTGTGCTGTATTAGCATACTCCAAACCCTCGCAACTGATTGGTCCGGACGGACAGCGACCTGATTGGTCGAAACCCCGGCCGTGATTGGAGCGCTAAGAGTCTACCGCGATTGGCTGTGCCGATCGCGGGAGATTCAAAGCGCTGCCATTGGCCGCCGAGCCGCGAGCCAGCCCTATATGAAGGGCTGCCGCGGCTTGCATTCCCCCAGACTATTTCTATCCTAAATAAAGAGATGAACTCACAGAATGGTCTCGTGTCTCCTTCGACCCGATCCACCTCAGATCTAACACCCACCAAGCCACGCCTACAGAATCGGTAGTAAAAAAATTGCAATGACCAGTAAGCCAGCACAGCATGAGTGAGCCATATGGGATTGTGGGCTGGAGCAGGAACTCCTAAAGTGCTACACCAAACGATGGTGCTGGATTCTGAGAGATGAGTTTTGAGACTTCCAAACACCAGCCTTATAGGTTCAGTCACCTGATACACATGCATTTTGTTCCTGTGATGTCAATGATGTTAGCTTCTGAGAATTAAATATATTCGTGTTCTGTCACCCTCTTCCATACTCCTTTTTCTCAGTCAAACTACTGTGTGTTTGGGAACATGGGGACTGGCTTTATGGATATGCGCTTGTATGCAGATATTTACAACTACAATTTTCTAGATGCAGCGTCTGTCATCTCAAGAATTGTGATAGAAAAAGACACATCACTAGTTAAGAAAGTCCAACACAATCCTTTCTCAGATTGTTATTTCTTCCTCTCTCCCTCCCTCTCTCTGTGTGTGTATTTGTGTATACACACACACACACACATATATATACATCAATACATATGCTGCATATTTTACATGCATTCAATTTTTCTGCATAGTAGCACAAGGCATGCTACATTCAGTTGGAAGTATTAACCTGTTTATATGCATCTGATTGAACATAACTGAAAAATATTTATACATACTGACACACAAAATTATATATGGTCATTTAGGGAAGATTTAAAACCCATCTAACAACTAATGGGGGAAAATGAGGTCTACTTCACAGGGCCTTGTGTCTCTATTTCTCTCTCTCATCTTTAATTGACAAGGGTGTTAGAATACATCCAGACAGTCTTCTTCATCTTAAAGCTGTGTCTAATGGTATCATCCCACACTGTATGGTGGCTAATCCATCACCAGGGGTGGGATTCAAATTTCTTAACAACTGGTTCTCTGGGAGTGGCCTAATTTGTGGGTGTGGCTTGATGGTCATGTGACTGTGTAGGCGTAGCTTGCTGATTGGGCGTGGCTAGGTGGTCATGCAACTGGCTGGGTGTGGCCAGGTGGCCATGTGACTGGCAAATCAAATACAAGTGGTCCTTGCTTAATGGCCAGTTGCTTAGCAAGTGTTCTAATTTACGACCGACCTCCCCAGAGCTACTTGACCTGTTTTTGATGTTTTGACAGTTATGTACACACACACACACACTCACACACACTTATGACCAGTTACAACATCCCACACAGTCTTGTGACTGAGGTTTTCTATGTTTTTTGCCAGTTTCCAACAATTCCTTCTGGTTTCTGGTTAAAAATGCCCATTGGGGAAAATGGACTTGCTTAACAACTACAGTGTTTGCTTAATGACCACAAGGCTCTCTTAACGACCATGGTGTTTGCCTAACCCAGGGGGCTGCAACTTAAACACTCAAAGAGCCATTTTTCTACTTTCTTTTAAACAGATCTCTCTCTCTCTCTTTTTCCCTCTGTCTTTCTCATCTCTATCTTTTTTTCTTTCTCTCTCTTTCTCATCTCTCTTTCTCTTTCTCATCTATAACTGCTAAGATTGGAAGCTGTTTTTTTATAATCCTATTTCTTTGTTTTTTTCACACACATTTGTGCATATGTACCCAATACACTTTCTTCCTTTCCTCTATGTATTCAAAATGGGCAATGATTATATGTATGTGTGTAGCATGTGTATATGTGTGTTATGTATGTGTATGGATATGTATATATATTTCACTTTTATGTGTGCCAGTGTACTTACAGTAAAAAAATGACAATAAAAGATATCTTAACCTATCTTCCTTCTTTCTTTCCCAACCCCTTTCCTTCCCACACCCTATTTTGTGTTGGCTTCCCAGCCAAGTACTTACCAGGTCTGATCCTGTTTAGCTTTCTAAAATCAGCCTACTGAAATAAATACCAAACTAAACTGCTCAATAATTTACCTACCATCTTGCACCTGATTTCAGTGTAAACAGCCAATCTGCAGTATTACTAAATTTTGCTAGGCATCTGCTGCATGTTATTCTCTCTTCCTTGATAATCTAGTCCTAGCTGGGCAAAACATATTAGACATTTGGAGTCACTGGCAAGACCAGCTCAATGTGGAGAAAAGTCATGTTCCCCATACTCATTTCTCCATGAGCATCCTCATCCCTGCCTCCTCATTTGTGAAGTGCATTAAGTTTAAATGTGCTGCGAGAGGAATATGGGAGATGTGCAACTTTTCTCCGCGCCAAGAGGGCTGCTCTCTTTCTTTCTCTCTCTCGCTTCCACTCTTGGTGCAGAGAAAAGTCGGTGGGAGCAACAGTTGAGGCCGTCGATCACCTGTCCTGGGGCTCACACTCACCATATCTGGGGGGGGGGATACAGTGGCAGCGAGGTGGCAATGGTGATGGCAGCAAGGAAGGCAATGGCGATTCTGGCGGTGTCGGGGCTTCTGGAACCAGCTCCCCTCTGCCACCTATCAGCTGTTCCTGCGGCCGCACAAGTGGTGCATTGGGGTTTCTAAGCCCTGCTCCCTGTAGCCACTGTTAGCTGTTCCAGACTCAATCAAGGGGCGCTTTGCCGACATAAGCCTCTCCGATTGTTTTTTCCTGCTGCTCTTGCTGGGAGAGTGAGAGAGTCTTTCCCAGCACAGCGAAAAGCCTGCAAGTCCCGCTCCCATCAGGAAATGGCTCCTGGGCAGCAGAGAGAAACAGAATTCAACCTGGTTGCTGCCTCTGCTGCCCGGAGCTGTTTCCTGATGGGAGGGGGGCTTGCAGGCTTTTCACTGTGCCAGGAAAGACTCTTGCTTTCTCAGCTGGAGCAGCAGGTGAAAGAAGCAGCCGCTGACCTGGCTGGAACCATCACAAGCCTCTCCACATGTTCCCCGGCGAAGGCAAGTGGTGGTGGGGGGAAAGGCGAACAGCAGTGGCAGATAGGCAACCGTGGCTTGCAGAGCCTCACTCACCCATGGAGATTAGATCAGGCAGGGCCACAGCAGAAGGCAGGCAGGCAGCAATGGCTGGCCTGGAGGTGGGCAAAAGCAGGCTTCAGGCAGTGATGTTATGCATGGGCGATAAGGCCTGACTGGGCGGGAAGGGAAGGGGCAGGCGGAGAGGCGTGGGGCCAGCCAGCAGCGTGATTTTCTAGTTCTCTGAACTGTGCAGAATTGTAACAACCAGTTCTATAGAACCTATCCGAACCGGTAGAATCCTACCCCTGTCCATCACCCAGCTAAAAAAGTTGATATGATGTAATGTTTCTTCTGTTGCATTTGTATCAGGAATATTCAATTTCCAACTGGTTGTAAACCTTAGTGGATATTTTCCCCCTCAATTTTACATGATGTATAGGAGATTTAACAATTTGATTTTCATCTCCCTGGGTTCCTTGTGTGTAGAACCCTTTTAATGTTTGCAATAAATGCAGAAAATATCAGAGAATAAATGAGCTACAATCTTAAAATGAATTTTGGACAACAGCATTTCTTTTACTGCTGTCTTCTCCAGTTGATTGATCCATTGGAGATTAATGACTACTCATGAACACAGTTTTCTAAAAATAGAACAGGTTTTGTTAACCTCAGTTCAAATAATGCAGTGAAGGAACAAAAAGCATGGGTGTGGTATAACCTACTTTTTTCATTTGCATAATAGTAGAAAGCTGTATTGTCAAGAACACACCATCTCTTTTGCCACTCAGAGCCAAAGATTTTGGAATCTGTGAAAAAGAAAAGAGGTGGAATAAGTAAGGATTCTATATTTCTGAAAAGGCTACAATATCAATCAAAGTTATTTCTGGTATTAATACATATTGTTCCAAGGCATTTTGTTTATATAAGATACTTTTCAGAAATACTTTTGTCTGTTTACTGCAGTCTTTTCTAACCTGAAAAAATGTGCAACAATAACAATTCCCAATTTGTATAATACTTGACAAGTTATGTAGTGGGCAATTTTTCCATAGACTTGTGGCACTTTCTATATGTTTTAAAGTTGGAAAACATCTGGAAAGTTTTAATTAAGGACTGATTTGCTGAATATTTTAATGCATTTGGCAGGGATTATTAAATCCTTATTCCAAAGTACAAAAAATGTGGTCACTTTTTCTAATTTCAAGGGCCTAATTGTACCAAATAGATAAGTGACATTTGAAAAAGCATAGAACATGCTTTTCTATGTATTGTTATAATTCTTTAAAAAGTAAGAAATTCCAGGGATAATGATATCTGTTTAATTCTCCCTTTTTTCTTTCTCTCTTTGCCTATCTATTTGTTTTTGCTCCAATATGGTATTAACATCACCTTATCTTCATCTAACTGAAAGAATGGCAAATTGATGAATTGATGCATCCAGAATATTTTGATACATTTTCAGATATTTTCTAATCTTTGGCTTCCCTTAAAGGTATGTCTATAGACTTGGTATATGATGACATGTGACAAGAGAAAAATCTGTTTAATACATGGTATTCACAATAATAATCATACTGAAATGGTTCCAGTTCTAGCAATTGATGTTGTGTTTTGTGTCATGTACTTCTCTCAGCACCAAATGTCTGCATGAAAAGTTAGCCATAATTTTCATTACAAATTTTAAAGCACGGACAACATAGGAATTCATAAATAAACACCACTTGATTTTAATAATGATAAGGATCTTATTTATGCCAAGGGATCTTACTCCTTAAAAAAATGAACTGCATTGCTGGTGTTGACCTTTAAAGCTCTACCATGGTAAGGGACAAGCCCTTTTTGAGGGACTGCCTCTTCCTAATTCCATCTGCCTGCCTCACCAGATCTAACAGAATAGGCATGTTACTGATTCTTTCATCTTGGGAGCTTCATTTGGCAGGCCCTAGGTGGCAGGCTTTTTCTGATTTGTGGAATCTTCTCCCCACAAAGATTAGGTCGCCCTCATCACTCCTGAGTTTTCAAGACCTGGTTATGCCAGTAGGCCTGAGGACCCCAAGGGCCAGATGAACTTCTGAGGTGACTCCTTATTATCAACATACTTCCACCTACAACTTTCTTTTCTTATTTAGCTCTGCTTACCAAATTAGAACTAAGGAAAATTTCCTGACAGTTAGAACAATGAATCAGTGGGATGATTTACCTTCGGAAGTTGTGAGTACTTCAAAACTGGAGGATTTTAAGAGATTGGACAACTATTTGTTTGAAATGGTATAGGATCTCCTGCTTGAGCAGAGGATCAGATTAGAAGTCATCCAAGATCCATTCCAACTCTGTTATTCTGTGATATTTTATACTCCTCAGTGTTTTAACATAATAGATTTAAGTAACAATTGTTTTATATTTATTGTTTTATTGGGGTATTATCAACCATCCAGTGTAATTTTCCATGAGATTAGGTAGCCATATCAATTTGATTAACAAATACACAAATAAGTAAATAATCAATTAGTAAATGTTTACCTTTAGCTCTCTTTTCCAAATAGCCTTGCTTTAAAATGATTCCTTGATCTTCAATAGCCTGTATATTGTTCTCATCTAAAAATAATAATAATAATAAAAAATGATAACTATCCCAAGATGGAACACATTTGTTTTTGTTGTAACCAGCTTAAAGAGCTATGGCTTCTGAGCAATTTAACATTTTTACTGAATAAAAATAAAAAATAAAAAAGCCTGCATGTACCGTATGTATCTATTTTTGATTACTACCACATTCATGAAGCTTAAATGATGACGCTGGAAATTACTTTCATAACAGTAACATAACAGTAAGGTACAAATTGGTTATATTGATAAGCTGTGTGAGTTCTTACTCACATTGCACTGGAAAAAAATATCTATTTCTGACTAAGAGAAGAGAGAAGAGGAGAGGGAGACGGAGATTTTGACACAATGTGATTAGTCAGTACAATATCATTGTACACGAATACTATTGAAAATGCAAAGCTTTGTGCTTAAAATCCAGGTCTGAGATTAGAGATGACTAGAAGCTCATATTGGTTTACAAGTTCTCTTGATGGAATGATTAACCCATATAATGCTACAGACTGCTACATCACTGCTCTAAAGACTGTATTTCTGACCTTTGTTTGCCATAATCTCCAAAAAAAAACTTTCAATGCATTTATTTCATACTAATGATTGAGAGGGAAGGAGTGCAGACGGAAAATTGTATAATTGATTTCTCTTTGCACTAGTCAGCCACATTTTTCATGCTAATGTCAAGATAAATATGAGGAAGCAAGCATAGTTAAAATGGTATTTAAGTCAGCAATGTTAAAAAAACACTTCTTTTCTTATAAGCTTAGAAACATACTATCTGGCTCACTTGCATCTCTGGAACTCTGGCTTGAAAGATGCAAGTGCATTTCGAAAATCAGGCTTGCATTGATTATACTTCAGCATTTCTGCTAAATTAAGCTAGTTAGTTTTTATGCTTTATTTTCTTTAAAAATCACACGTATTTTTAATAAATGCACCTTTAATGAGAGTTGCTAGACTAGAAATTCTCAATGCATTATAATTCAGAATCTCATCTAGTCATACAATAAACCACTCATTTTTGTGGCAAAACTGGTAGTGTTAACAGAACTTACTTTCAGAAAAATGGTGTAAAATTGCTGCCTTAAGCACTAACAAACGGATACAATGAAAGCCCATTGAAGACAAATTGGTTCATGAAGGCATTTGTAGAATAACAATTGCTCCAGGGCAAGTTTGCTTTTTTTCAATTGCCTTTTTAATTGCTTTTTTAAAAAAAGAATCTTGTTTTAATTTTTGTATTTTTATTGACTCTTAGGATTGTTAGTTTTATTGTTGATGGTTACATTTAAGGTTCTTTTAATTGTTCTCTGTAAACTGCTTTGGGCAATTTGGGAAGAAGAGTAGTAAAGAAATAGTATAAAAATATATTGTTTACAGCTTTAAAAGAGATTTGGTGTCATATAAAATTAGATTTGCTATCAGTGTTTTTCTCAATCCACCCTTAGGCTAAGCCTAGTATAAATGTGGATAACTTCCAGGAGTGGTAGATTCATTATATAAATTCCAGTATGAGATCTTACTTGCTTATTACAATCATAAATGGTCAAAATGCCAAGGATCAACAAGATGTGATAAATTGGTAATATATCAATAATCTATTGTATATTAATACCATTAAATGGAAAAGGAAGTGTGTATGAAAATCTGCTGACTCAACTATGCAGGGCCTCATGAGGCCCCTGTTTTATGGATCAGGAGCAACACAGACTAAGATTTTTAGGTAGTCCTGGTCTCTATTATTATATCTCACTTTCTGCAAAAAGGATGAACATTTTCAGACAGCCTATGATTACAGGAAATACTTATTTATTAAATTTCTATGTTGCACATCTCACTGATAGGAGCAACTCTGTGTGTTCCTCTCATTTGGTTCTTCTGGGTCTTTGTGCAAAAAGACCCTGAAATAAATCAGGAAAGGATTCATAATTATCTACATGGATGAGAATTGCTGAAGATGTATTTCATATAAATTCTATCTCTGTTGTTCCAAAACACTTTAGTTTCAGATATTTGAGTATTTCAGTAGTAAAAAAGATACTCTAGTATATCTTCTGAGGTGAAATTACAACAAGTTGTGGCACTGAAAATAAGAATCAAATAAATTCTGGTACTAATATCAGACTGGTATTTGAGCTTTGGATATTTAATGAAATAAATATACCCTAATGTAACCTCACTTTAAAATGCATCCTACACATATTGTGGATGAACTTAAAAGTCATCTTGGTACACTGAGCCCAGCTTTGATTTTTCAGTCATTTTCACTAGAGATTTATACTCAGTCACTCAGATATTTATATAACCTGTTGCCTCCTCTGCTTGTATTTCTTGTTAATTAGCAGAAAACTAGAAACACTGAGTCAATGAATTCTTTCAATTTTTCTGTGAGAGTTTAGAGAAAAAACAGGGCCCATTCTAGAGATCTCTGATGACATGATCTATGATGAAGGATTGGGGAACCCTAGAAGGTTGCAAAGAAGGCAGATATCTGTCTCATGGCACATGTGCAGTGTATTCCCTCTCAGAATTTGCTGTGGGATTTCAAACAGTTTCATGCAGTCCGATAGACTTCTCTAGAATACTTTAGGGATGCCCATATAATAATTGATCTTTTTGAAATATATATTTATTAAAATTTTGTATACAATAAAAATCAAACCTAAAGATAAAACAGAAAAAAGGTTCAAGAAAAAAATGAAAGCAACTAAAGAAATATAATTATTTCCAACAAATTCTTCAACAAATACTGAACAATTATCTTCTCTCCTATTTAGTTATTTTAAAAATCTTTTCAGCTCCTTGTTTATTTTTCATCTTTTTTAATCATTAAATCTATAAAAAATCATTTCTCTTTTCTTCTTTTAGCAAAAAGTTTATATAAAGTTTCCAGTCTTTTAAACAGCATTTGTTTCCTTCCTGGTCCCATAGATCAGATTTGCCATTTCTACCTGTTCTCACACTTTACTATCTATTTCTCTATTTTGGGAATTTCAGTACTCTTTCACTTTTGTGCAATACCAGACAAACTATTAAGCAAAAATAATCTAATCAAGGAATACAAAGGAGAAACCAACTCCCAGTGCAAACTACTATCTATAAACAGGGAGCAAAGTCCACACTGATGTTATTACCTAATTCAGCATATTTGCAAGCAAATAACCAAGTTTAGAGAGCTGCAAGGGGTCCTCAGTTTTTGGCACTTGTTTTATATACTTTAAATTTTTAAAATAGCTTTTCTTTTATTTTGGGATGTGGTTTTACTAAGTAGATAGTTTTTCAAACTTGTTTGCTTTATAATAGTTTTAAGTAAAGTTTTTGTAAAGAAACAAAACAAAAGCGAATAAAGAGCAGAGGCATTCAGGCAGGGAAAAAGGAAGGAAGGAAAGCAAAAATGCAGAAAGAAAGAATAAAAAAATAATAAAAAGAAGGTTCTAATCTTCTTTGCAACAATTACATTTACAAATTTCTCTCTTATTGTATATTTACAAAAACCCCTCACTTTTTTCTATTATCCATTCTTTTTTCTACTCATCAAAATCACTAATGAAAAGTGCACTTTTCTGTTTCATAGAAAAAGTCTTTGAGGAGTTTCAAGTCAATCATAAATGTGAACATTGTTTTTTCTCTCTTCTCTGTAAGTTCTATCATCTTTATCAACCATTTCTCTGTGTTGATATAACTGAGACTATCCATTTCTGAGCATATAATAGCCTTGGTGCAGGGGTGGGATTCAACAGCTGTTACTACTGGTTCGGTGATTATGTTTTGCTCATGCTTAAGCGCTTTGCGCGCATGTGCGCCAGATGCACGCATGTGCACCAGATGCACGCATGTGCGCCAGATGCGCGCTGTGTGTGCGTGTAATAAACCTTCAGCTGTGCTGCCTGGACAACTGATGAGTGCTGCGCGTGGGTGTGCAGCATTTAAAAAGCCACTTTTTTCCTGATTTTTCAAGCTCAGCTGTGCTGCGCAAAGCAGCTGAGGTTGAAAAAGCAGGAAATAAAGGACAGGTAAGAGCCCGAGCAGGTGGGTGGGCCAAAGAGCAGCAGACACAGAAACGGTTTGGTGTCTGCTGCTCTTCAGAGCTACCGGTTCTATAGAGCTGGGCAGAACTGGTAGCATCCCACCCTGCCTTGGTGCAATTGTCATATATAACAACAAAGTTCTGTGACTTTTTCTAACTTTTTTTTATTTAAGTTTTTATTGGTTTTTAAAAACAAACATAAACAAACAAAACATAAAAACATCAAGCCATCTTCCATATGTATACATACAGTGTGCCGGTTGGTTTACAAATTGTTTTGTGCTTCCATATTTTCAATCAAAAATTAAATACCTTAGTATCATTATTAATCAATCATTTGGCTATACTTTTATTCATTCATGTTTTACAAGATAATCATAATTTACTTAGTTTGTTTTATAACAGTTCATATTATCATCCCAAATCTATCCTAAAATCATTTTGTAGATATAA